GGGACCCTTGATCTCAGGGTCACGAGTTCAAGCCCTAAGGTTGGGCTGGGCGTTGAGCTTACTTAAAAAAAAAAAGTAACCAATGAATAAAATAGCTAGAGACATTGTTATAAATAGTGTTGGATGCCACCAAGAAAAAGAAATAAAAGTCTGCACTATAGAAGAAAAACTAGTACCCACTCAGAATGTTGAAGACCAAGTGAGAAGTAAAGGTGTTTATTACAAGGATGTGGCTTCCTCATATTGATGAAAAAACTGGAAACAACTTAGATGTCTATCAACGGGGGAACTGATAGATATATATTCACATGATGACTATTATATAGCAGTTAAGCTGAATCAATATATTCCTATGCATCAACATGGAAAGTGTTTTTTAAAAAAATGTTAAATTAGAAGAATGAAAAATAACATGTGTGGTGTTTTCTCACAAAACAGGCATATAGTTTGTGGATAAAGGTGTGTGTATATATATGTACAGATATACAAAAGGAACCGGAACTATACACATCAATGCGGTGACTTTGGGGAGAGGTTAAAGGGATGGGACTTCACCTGAATCTTCCCATATTGATTTTTATATTAATAATATTGGGGGGGAGGGGCGCCTGGGTGGCTTAGTCGGTTAAGCGTCCGACTTTCGCTTAGGTCATGAGCTCGCGGTTCGTGGGTTCGAGCCCCGCGTCGGGCTCTCTGCTGACTGCCAGCTCAGAGCCTGGAGCCTGTTTCAGAGTCTGTGACTCCCTCTCTCTCTGACCCTCCCCTGCTCACGCTGTCTCTCTCTCTCTCCTAGAAATGAATAAAATATTAAAAAAAAAATAATATTGGCGGGGGAGAGGGTGCCTGGGTGGCTCAGTCAGCTAAGTGTCCGACTTTGGCTCAGGTCATGGTCTCGCAGTTTGTGAGTTCAAGCCCCATGTTGGGCTCTGTGCTGACAGCTCAGAGCCGAGCCTGCTTTGGGTTCTGTGTCTCCCTCTCTCTGCCCCTCCTCCACTTACATCCTGTCTCTGTCTTTCTCTCAAAAAATGAATAAGCATTAAAATAAAAAAAAAATAAAAGAATGGCCATTGGAGGGGTACCTGGGGGTCTCAGTGGGTTAAGTGTCCAACTTTGGCTCAGGTCATGATCTCAAGGCTTATGAGCTCGAGCCCCATGTTGGGCTCTATGCTGACAGCCTGGAGCCTGCTTTGGATTCTTTGTGTCCCTCTCTCTCTGCCCCTGCCCAACTCACATTCTGTCTCTCTTTCTCTCAAATAAACATTTAAAAAATAATAATAAATAATAAAAGAATGGCCATTGGAATCTCAGAATGAGAAGTAATTCTATTGATTCTTGTTATTTAAACACATTGGTATTATGGACTATTTTACAGTATTGATGAGGACAGAAATTAATAATTTAAAATAAGTGGTGAGGAAGTATTTTGTGACTCAAAGGAAATAACATCAAAAAAGACTAAGTTTTTATCTTAAGTTAGACAAAGCCATGCAAAGTATGCAAATACAAATTTAAGTCTCCTTAAAAACTTTATGGTTTTACTAACATGAAAGAATGGAAGATCCCATAAATTAGAAGGGGGAAGAAGTGTACGTACTTATCCCCTACGGTGGGAGCTGCAGAATTCCATTAGCACAGAGAAGAATTTGAACACATGTATGACTTGAATTCAGGGAAGTGAGCTAAATGTCACTCTCCTTGATTTCAACAAGTACAGTTTCAGTGGAGATAGGGTTGCCAGATTAAATGCAACATGACCTGTTAAATTTGAGTTTCAGGTGAGCAACAAATAAATATTAATATAATAATAATGTCTCATACAATATCTGGGGCATAGTTTATACATATTTGAGGACATATTGGAGGAAAACAAAGAATCCCATAAATATTTACTTCCTTATTTGTTAGGTATTGGACAGTTATTACCGAACACCTGCTAAGTGTCAGGCAGTGTTCTAGGTTCTGGAGGATTACCATGTTAAATAAGATAGTCAAGTGTCCCTGCTCTCAGATCCCCTGGGGAGGGCTGTAGGAGAGGGAATACTGATGATGAGAAGTAGACAGATACACGAATAATTCCAGCCACTAATAGTGGAATATTTTTAAATTGATTAGAAAATTTTATTTTCAAGTGTTTTCTGAGTGCATATTTGAGAGACTTTATGGGGGACAGTTATTTTGTTATTGTTTATTGAAAACAAAGAGCAAGTGCACAAGCCCCAAGTATATACCCCATATATAGTGAGATAAAGTCTTTTGTATATATTCATCCCTCTGATTGCAGATGCAAAAGTTGACTGAAACAAAAAAAAATGTTAAATTGTATTCAAATTTCACAAAACTAAAGTATAGAAATTTAAAGTTTTTTAGTCTTTGGTATAGATCTAATCACCAATTTCTAGGAAATGTAAGAGCCTGGGGCACCTGGGTGTCTCAGTTGCTCACATAGATGAGATGAGTGGTAAAAGGAATATAGTTACAGCAGTGTCGATTTTACATGGCAAAATCACACTGTGATTTACAACAGAAATGGTTTTGTCCTCCTCTCCTTTTACTGGAGGGAAGTTATGGGAAATAGATTTAAGAATTCTCTATTCAAATGGTTTAAAAAGGCATAGGGCAGAAAGCCTCCTTAACAGGACCAAAGCATCTAAGTGTAGCTATTTGAGCAAAACAAACCACCAAGCAGAGAGCCTCCTTAACAGGAGGAAAGCACCTGAGGACAGCTTATGATATATAGGCCATAATGGAATCTTGAGTACTTGAGTATCTTGAGTAATCTCAGGATAGCATGCTCCATTTATCTTAGAGCTTAGAAAAGTCAGATAGCCAGATGCAGTACCTGCAGGAAATGGCCGTCTCTGCAGCGCTGAGAGGTTGTTATGTTTCGACCCTAATCTCTAACAATGCATGTCCCTGAGATCCTTATTCTCTCACACATGAGTTAAGGATTACTGTTTTATTGTTTCTTTCTGCATGTCCGTCATCTTTGTAATTTTTCAAGATCCTAATAAATATGGAGAAAGGACCCTTACTCAGGGCCCTCATCTCCACATAGACATTAGCCTCTCTTGTATTTAATTCTGTGTCTGCTCTCTTGCTGGACAAGAGAACTCCAGACTCATAGTCTGCAACAGGATATAATAGGAAACCACGTGAATCACAAAGGATTTGTTCACCTAATCCTTATTCACAGCAGTATTTCAAGTGAATCCTTTTGTTTGGTACCCCAAAAGGTTTGACTCCCCAGAGCAATACATCCCTGTAAGATTTGAGAGTAAGAAGCCTAGCTGTCTTCCACCAGGAGGGAAGATGACCATGAAGGAGGGCACCCTGGCCATAGGGATGTTTTCCAAGGGAGCAATTTTAAAGATGTACAGATAGAAAATATAAGACTCTGAAAATTGATTCTCTCAAAACTAGCTGTCTACATATTCTAAGGATATTTGTGTTCTCCATCCCCCATCAGTACCTGCCAGGTTGCTTATATCATTGTCTGAAGACTGCTATAGTCTGTCTGACACAAGACCCCAATGAGGCCACCATTGCATGCCCTCCCTTCTATTGACTTTTGATAAGGCTTACTTTTTTTTACTCCATTTTTCCCCCTCTTTGTTTTAGATAAAAGCTTTACAGAAGTTTATATACTTTCTTTCCCATCTTGGTGGACTGCTTTGAACATCCCTTAGGTGATTTCATGGCACTATAGAGATCATGGACTCAGAAGAATAATCTGAGTATGGCTTTTGAGAACTAGCTAAGAATTACCCAAGTGACTGGACTCTTGGGCAAATGCCCACTGTAAATTACAAATTAACTTCTGAGCCCCCGAGTAATAGAGCTGATTGCACTGAAGGTGCTGGGAGTCTAAGAGCTGTTCCCTTTGGATTGGCATTAGGAGACCTTTTACAGAACAATCCCATTTTGAAGAGACTCCCTCTATTTCCAAACTTCCCTGTTCTCCTTGCCACTGCCTCCTTCCTTATCTCTGAACTTCTTGTCCTTGAGGTTAGGAGTGGAAGAAAAAGGAATGGTGGAGTGATTTAAAAACAAACAAACAAACCCCAAGGTGTGTATGTGTGTGTGCGTGTGTGTGTGTGTGTGTGTGTGTTGTTTTGTTTTGGTGGTTGGTGGGGGATGGGTATTGAGTTTACTGAATGGCTTGGATATGCCAAGTATTTGCTCAAATTCTCACTGTGGTCTAGAAGGACTGGGGATGGGTCAGCACCCACCCTTCTCAGGCCACCCACAAGTTATATCAGTTACTTGTGCATTGTTCTGTCTGGCCTCCAGGCCTTTGCCCTGGCTGTTCCCTCTGTCTATTGCACCCCCCTTCCCCTCCAGGGCCTGCCACACTTCTGGAAAGTCTCCTTTTCCTAGCACTTATCATGTTTTCCTGGAACTGGTTATTTAAATTACGGCCCTTAGACTGCAAGTCAGTGGAGAGTAAGGTCTGTTGCAATCGTAGAGCTGACCATGGGCACCATAAATACTGGATGCAGTGGAAACTGGGATCAAACGGGAGGCAGGGCTATAAGGGGAGCCTGGAGGGCCCTCGTTACTCAGGATATCACAAGGTCTGTTTACGTAAGGATTTGGTTCTGACACTTACGGGGATCCTCCTGTGAGGGCATAAAAGTGAGTGAACCAGGAAGCCTTTCCCTCACTCCCTCAAGCATTTCACACATTCGGCACCTGCAGGGGTTTTTGCCTGTTTGTTTTCTTCGGATGACTTCCCTAACTTTTCTCTCCCACCATTTGTGCAGGTTTTGTCTTTACGATAACTCCCTTACGGGCTGCAATGTCTTCTTCAGATTTTAGGGGGCATTTTTGCATGAAACAAGCACAAAACTTGGTTTTTGAAGCATAAACTTGATTTATTTGGAAATTCCAAATAAAGGTGATTTTTTTTTTTTCTATTGATGAATCTTTCAAAAGTCTTCCTTTTTGCAGCGGGCTGGCTCGAGACCCGGACAAAGTGAACTTTCCTCGGCCCTCGGCAGCTCACGGGAGACTCCCGCCTCTCCCGCCGCCTCTGCAGCCCGCTCCGGATCAGCTGCACCCGAGAACGCGCTCTGAGGCCGAAGTACGCTGCTCTTAGCTCGGCCCAGCCAACGAGGGGCGCGGCGGCGGGCCGGAAAGCCGGTTTGAGCCAGAACGCCGAGCCCGGCGGCATAGGTCCCAAGACAGCGAACCACCGAGAGGAGAACACCTCCAATGTTCCTAGAGAGAACAAGTGGGCGTGGGGGCCACAGGGGATGGCGTGGGCGGTGAAAGGGGCCGACCCGGAAGTGAAACAGAGAGAACTTCCGTTCTTTGTTCTGTCCGGGTGTGTGGGTCTGTGACAGGGTCCAGCAGGGCCTGCATTTGTCCGGCCCCGCAAATCTCCCGTCCTTGCCCCCAGGGTGAGTCCGGCCGTCCCCGGGGCTCGCGGTGAGGCGGAGGCTGTGGTCGCCGGGGAAAGGGGTGGTGTCCGCACCGCTGCGGTCCGCGGGGCCCCCAGGCCCTCCCGGAGCAGGGTGCCGGGACGCGCCGCTCCCTCCCCCCCGCAGCCAGTCCAGGACTCCGCTTCCCCGGGGGCCTCCTTCTTCCAAACGGGGCCCTGCCAGGACTGGAGGAAAGGGGCTCCGGTTCTGGTTTTGTGACTTTGCCTAGTTCGAGCACTTAAAAGTTCCAGTATGGCTGTAAACGGGTCCCTCTCTTTAGAACAGCTGATGACAGCGCCCCTAACTTGGTAACTCTCCCAGACGCTTTTATTTGTTGTTGACGCGATAGTTGGCGCCAGTGGCAGGGGAAGACTATTTTTATTTATACGGATCTGAGGAGTTCAGCGAAGTATTCGCAGTTAGAACTAGGGTGTTCAATAAATTGAGTCTCTTAACGGGGAATGGAACAGCTATCTCTGGTGCCCATTTTTAGTTGTGTTAGATCCCTGATTTGATCCGCTTTTGAAGTGGGATTGAACGCAGACAGATGTTTATGCTCCAAATGGCATTTGTAGGACCCAGGAGAGGAGGACGATGAACCTGAAATCTATGGAATGATGAGAGGAGCTAAAGATATTTATCCCCAAGAAGAGAAGTTTGTGGAGAGTGGACATCAGTTTGATTTACAAGTGTTTGACCAACAGTTGTATGGAAAGAAGATTCTATTCTTGAAGCTCCGTATGTGTACTAGGCCTCTGTAAGGTGAAGGTCCGAGGGGGATAGATTTTCAGCTCCAGCTGAAGACCTTTGATGGCTGAGTTGTGCAGCCATGGAACAGACTCCCTGCTGAAGTTGAGAGTTTCTTTCGTATTAGCTGTCAGAATATCGGGAACTTGAGAAGGCATTTCATTGTTTCTTTTTTTTTAAGTAGGCTCCCAGCATGGGGTTTGAACTCACAACTGTGAGATCAAGAGTCACATGCTCTACTGACTGAGCGAGCCACTCAGCCATTTCTTAAACTGGGTGGGAGGTTGATCTGGAGAAATTTCAGTTGCCTTTCACCTCTCCAGGGGTGCAACCCAAATACCAGTTGTGGTCTTAATTATATTAATTAGTATATGTTCTCTTTGTCTCTCTCTGTCTTTCTCTCTCTTTTTTCTTATATCTGGGTAGAAATGAAGTTTATGAATATTAAAAAAATTTTTTTTTCCCCTTAATCACACAGAAGCATTGGCATCAACTAAAGTTAGAATTCCCAGGAACTTGAAGAGAGGCTTCCAAATTCCCGGTAATTGCCACTCTAGGAACTAACTCCAAAGAAGGAAGGAAAGATTCCAGCAGGTAAAGCTTTTCATGGCTCGTTCTCACTGCCAGGTTCTCTTTCTGGGTCCCCAGGAGCAGCTTCAGGGAGAGGCGTTGGCAGCAGAGCAAGGAAGGGCCCTGCCTGGACCTGAAGCTGTGGGGGCACAATGGAGATTTTTCTTCCCATGAGAAACACTATGTACTGATCCAGACACTGGGGACTTGTTCTCAACAATATGCCTTTGAGGCCCAGCTTTAGTTAGCCCAGCTGTGAGGAGGGAGGCTTGCTTTTTTTTCCTCTGGAGTCAGAGCCTCTGATTTTCCTTTTTAAAGAGAGTTTGGACTAAGAACTGATTTGTTGGAGTGGGTCTGCTTATAAACAGTCCTGGAAATTGTCAGGTTGGTTGGTAGGAACAAAAGATGGCTGGCTCTTAAACAGAGTTGACGGGACCCAGCAAGGAGGGCGCTGGTGGCAATAGGGTGTGTCACCTTGATTGCCATTGGTCCTGGCCTATGCCTCACTCAGGGCCTTTCTCTGTGTAAAGACATTGGTGGTGGCCATTCTGTACCTCCTTGGTGCCCAAAGACCAGAGTTCTGTGAACTTTGAGTCACTCTCTGGGCCCCTCCCCTTTTTATGCCTTCTGTGAATGCAGCAGTCTGTAATGAGGAAGCAGATCCCTCTTGCATTCGTGTGTTTTTACTCCTTTCAGTAGTGCCTTGCAGTGTTGTGTACTGAACAGTTACGAGCAAATAAATAAAAAAGGTAGACAAAATCCAGGTTTTTTTTTTTTCTTTGCTCTCGCCTAAGTGCCACAAGCTCTGGTGGTCACTGCACTTTTCCTGGGTGTGTTAGTTCTTGTCACAGCGTTCAAGAGAGCCGTAGAAACTTCCGCTTGAGATCAAAACCGTGGTCTAAATACTGATGTTCCATTTTATTCACATGAGCCACAAGGAACAGACCTCTTTTGCTGATCATAGCAAGTGGGGAGTGGGGACATCAGTAGGGAGTAACGTGTAAGCTTATGTTTTTTAACAAAGTGTTGGTCCCTGTTTCAGGGACTTAGATTCTTCTCCAAGGAGATGTATTAGGAGGAAAGGGATATAGAAAGAAGGCTGGCTGCTGCCTTCTTGGTGATGGGTGCCAGGCCTCCAGATCTGGTGAACATGTACACCTGCCACCTGTGAAGACACTGCACGAGGACCACAGAAGGGGCCCTCAGCCCTCGGTGGCATCCTGCCTTTGGCTGAGACTGGAAGCAGACAGCTGTTTTAGGGGAGGAAGGATTTATCTTAATTAATCTGAGTCCTGGTTCTGGGCATCAGGTATTTTTTCCCCAGGGTTTCTTTAAATGGGAGGCAGAAAACTCCTGGAAAGTTTCTCCAGTCTCTGCTCTTTGGGTGCTATTTCGTGGCTCCTTGTATAACAGTCAGAAGCCTAATGAAATAAATTTTTTCCTTCTACTAGTTTTAATGTCTTTGAGGGTTTAAAAAAAAAAATCTGTGAAGGGGGGTGCTTGGGTGGCTCAGTTGGTTAAGCATTCGACTTCTGCTCAGGTCACAATCTCATGGCTCGTGGGTTTGAGCCCCGCGTTGGGCTCCTTGCTGACAGCTCAGAGCCTGGAGCCTGCTTCGGATTCTGTGTCTTCCTCTCTCTTTGCCCCTCCCCTGCTCATGCTCTATCTCTCTCAATACTTTGAGAGATAGAGAATGAGAGATAGAATCTGTAAATATTTAGTGTTATCCACTATCCCAACAATCCTTAAAAACTGATACAATACATACACATTTTGTGAATCTATGTGTACATACTTTTTCATTTTCTTCTGTTTTTTATTTCAGTCGTTGCTTAGTATTTCATTTTGTTAGTGTCATTATTTGGCACCAGTGTTCCACGTCTTTTGTCATTATAAATATCACTGAGTACATTGTGGGAGCCACAGCTGCGATGTTGTCTAGGAACTGGGGCCTTTTCTGTGGTGCCCATGCAGGCTCATCACAGGGAGCAGGTGTATGTATTTACCAGGATTTGGAAGGCTGATCCTGGTTGCTATGTTTTTCTCTTGCTAGTCTTGGGCACTCCCTGAAATACTTGATCCAGGGAGGTTTTTTGGTTCGGTTGTTGTTGTTGTTGTTTTTTTAACCATTGCACCTTGAACTTTGCTTCTGCAGTGCTTCCTCATTCTCATTCAAAACCTTTTTCCTGCTGAGTCTACAGATAGTAGACCAGAGACCCAGAACTTCTGGCCCTACCCATGGAAACTCAGGCTGATTGCGTATCTCAGGAACCTCAGGCCCTGCTTGAGAGTGGTAAGTAACAGGGATTCATTTATTCTTTCATGCAGACATTCCATAGTCACTGTGAGTCCCTTATTCACCAGGTGCTGGGCTAAACACTGGAATCCAGATGTGACTGAGACACAGTCCTTCTCATTTGGTAGCTGATAGCCTCGGTCAGTAGCTTATAGTCTAGTGGGAAAGCTGACTGAAGATGATAATGAATCTACAGCTTGACAGGTTTTATAGCTGAGGCATTTTTGAAGAGCTATTGGTACCTCATGCGGGATTAAGAAAACTGCTGTAATCACAGACTTCCAGGTGCTTGGTAGCAGCCAAGTTTTTAGTCCTTTTTTGTGTACTTTAGGAGCTTGCACTTGGGGAAGGCTCTTGGGAATCACTCTAGGTCACAGGCAAAAAGAGGATAAAATGAATAGAAGCCACTAAAATATTTGCATTTTGTTTCCATTGACTGTGCAACTGACTTGGAGCCAGTTACAGTCCTAAAGGGCATGCTTATCAGGAAGAAGCATGTAAGGAATTCTCTGGGTGATTGTACACAATCCAGGGTCTCTAGAGGCAAATATGTTAATTTAAGGATTACAGAAGAGGCCCCAGGGTAGCTCGGTGGGTTAAGCATCTGACTCTTGATCTCAGCTCAGGTCTTGATTTCATTGTCATGAGTTCAAGCTCCATGTTGGGCTCAGCACTGAACGTGAAGCCTACTTACAGAAAAGAAAAAGAAAAAATTACAGAAGATATGTGATCAAGTGCGGAAGCAGGAAACACGTATAGTGTTGAGACTTGATCTGGGAATGAAGAGAAAGAATAATGGGCATTATGTGTTCAGTCAGGCTGCTGGTTTTCTCAGGTATAAGAGACCTTCATGCATGAGTTTGAGTTGAGATATGTGGAGAACGGTGGAAGGGACGTGAGCAGGAATGTCTGCATTTCTGTCCAAGCTTGGGAGAAAGGACAAGAAGGTGCTGATTACTAACGGGAGGACTGGCCAGCTTCCCTGAGAAGCAGTGACTGAACAGAAAGGAAGGGGCCTGGGACAGATGGAGAGCAGCATCAACAGGGCTTTGGGCATCCCTCCTCTGGAAGAGGGATGCACACTGAATGTGCCTGTGTCAGCCCCTTTTGCAGCCACTGAAGAAACAAACGTAGACATGTAAGGGAGTGGGGCCTAGTTTGTCCCGGGACCCCAGGAGTTTTCTGTGGTTTGGAGGCCAGAAAGCAGGTGGCTTCACTCATGGACCCTTCTGTTGTCTTTCAGCTCTTCCTTCCTCAAAAGTTCCTGCATTTGCTGACAAGGACAGCCTGGGGGATGAGATGTTGGCAGCTGCACTGCTAAAGGCCAAGTCCCAGGTGAGCTACGGTTTCCTTTATCCTTCTTCTTTTCCTTCCCATTTTGTGGAAACATTTGTGCAGCGACATCCATTCGGTGCCCTAAACCAGGATTCTCTCCATCAGGGACATGTTCTTTTCCTGCTGAATGACGGACTGCTGTCTTCCTGCACTGTAACCTCCTTCCCCCCACCTCTTAGATACGCATCATCCAGCCTCATCCCCAGTTACTTATTTATTTTTTTTGGTGCTGCCAATCCCATCCTTCACCCTGAAATTGCATGCAAGACCGTGTTGTTCCAGGAGCTGGTGACCTTTGAGGATGTAGCTGTGTACTTCATCCGGAAGGAGTGGAAGCGTTTGGAGCCCGCTCAGAGGGACCTCTACAGGGATGTGATGCTGGAGAATTATGGAAATGTGTTCTCGCTGGGTAAGGAGTTCCGCTTTCTCGGTAAAAATCCTGTGCCATTTCTTTGTTTCCTTGTTTGCTAATAACAGTCGAGTCACAAAATGATCAGCCAAGGATTGACTTAATCTTAGAAAGTTCTAACAACAATAATGATAGTAACTCCTGTTTGTACGATAACTTGCAGTTTATAAAGAGCTTTTGTATACATTCTCTATACCTCACAGTAACACAGTGATGGAGGCCGCTGGTATTCTCAAGTTACAGGCAAGGGAAGAGAAGTCAGAGGTCTTCAGTGTGGTCATGTAGCTGGTGAATAGCAGGACTTGAACCCTGGTCTTTCAGCTCCAAATCTGGTGCTTTTCTCCTTGTGATTCTTAACGTATATTTGAGAGCCTCTTCCAAACAATTAGCCTGTTGGGACCCTAAACGTGGAGGCCCTGCTCTGTGCCCAAGGGCACATTCTGGAACTCTGCTTCCCTTCTCTGTTGTACTACCTTTGGGGATCTGTTGCTTTGTTCAGGATGCTTTGTTTTGGGGAGCATCTGGCCTCTTTAACCTTTAGTGTGTGGACTGTTAATCCCTTGTCTGTCACTCACTGCTGGTGAGAACATTGTCTAGGCAGTGCCAGGGGTCTCCCATTTCCTTTTGGGCCCCTGCAAGCCCTGGGTCTTGAATTGAGCTCTGGGACTGCTTAACAGTGACCTCATCCCACGTCTTCCCCCATGGGTAGGATTTCCGTTTCTGGATTTTGACACAATCTTTGGGCTGCATTGAGAGGAAGAGTTGAGGGTCCTGGGTTTGAATGGAGCTAAGAACAGAGAAGTCCTGAGAGGTGCCTATTCAGATGAGAGAGAAACAGCTGTTTCTGTCACTAACGTCCATTGCCCTGTCTTTACTTTTTAAAACATTGACAGACTAAAAATGTTGACTGTCCGGATCCTTCTCACTCATCCTCTGTCCCTGAAGCTCCCTTTGAAAACCCCAAAGTAGTGAAAATAGAGAAGTCAAACAGGAAGATACTTACATAGGGGCACCTGGGTGGCTCAGTCGGTTAAGCATCCGACTTCGGCTCAGGTCATGATCTCGCGGTTCTTAGGTTCAAACCCCGTGTTGGGCTCTGTGCTGGCAGCTAGCTCAGAGCCTGGAGCCTGCTTCAGATCTGTCTCCCCCTCTTTCTCTGACCCTCCCCTGCTCATGCTGTCTCTCTCTCTCTCTCTCTTTTTCTCTCTCTTTCAAAAAAAAATTAAAAAAAAATTTTTAATTAAAAAAAAAAGAAGATGCTTACGTATCTTCACATCCTAGCACAGCCTCCTAGGCCTAGGGCCCAGAGATGGACTGAACTCTCATCTTTTGCCTGTTTCCATGGGTTTGGCATGTGTGGCTTCCAGATGTGCTTTCTTTTTACCTGGGACTGTAGTGGTTACTCTGGCCTCCCCCTTGTTGCCTCTTCCTGCTCTGCTGCTGTTTCCTGTCACCCTTCTTTGCTTGCTTGCTTGTTTTTGTTCTCCCCTATTTTCTGGAAGCCACCATCTCCCCACTTGTATTTGCAGACTCTGACCTTTTTGGGGTCTTTGTCACTTCATTGAACAGCATGTCTTTTTTCTTCTGTTTCTGGTTTCCTGCCTCTGCCTGGTCTGTCTTCCTCTCCTCCCATCTCCAGCCTTCTCTGTACTTCTAGCTCTTTTCACTCTGATTTTGCTTCCTGCCTTTCTCCTTCACTGTTTCCTCAAGGCAGTTCTCTTAGCATGCCTCAGCTGCCCCCAGCCTGGGCAGGTCTGCACGCGGGTAAGAGGCATGTGCCTTTAGCCCTGTGAACATTCTTCTCATAATTATCCTGCCCTCTGGTTTTGATTCTTTCTTCCACAAGGAACAAGTGATGTTTGTATTTTGTATTGTGCCAGATGGTGAGACCAGAACTGAGCATGATCAAGAAATTTCTGAAGATACAGGATCACATGGGGTGCTGTTGGGAAGATTCCAAAAGGATATTTCTCAGGGTCTTAAGTTTGAAGAAGCCTATGAACAAAAAGTCAGTCTAAAGAGGCAAATGGGGAACTCCTCTGGAGAAAGATTGAATAGGAAGATAGAAGATTTTGGTCAAGTGACAGTTGAGGAAAAGCTAAGCCCTGCGGGAGAGAGAAGTGAGAAATTTAATGATTTTGGGAACAGCTTCACTGTGAGTCCTAACCTCATTTCTCATCAGAGACTTCCTGTGGGAGACAGACCCCATAAGTGTGATGAATGTAGCAAGAGCTTTAATCGAACTTCAGACCTTATTCAACATCAGAGAATCCACACGGGAGAGAAACCCTATGAATGTAGTGAGTGTGGGAAGGCCTTCAGCCAGAGCTCACACCTTATTCAGCACCAGAGAATCCACACCGGAGAGAAACCTTACGAATGTAACGATTGTGGGAAGACCTTCAGTTGTAGCTCTGCTCTCATCCTGCATCGGAGGATCCACACTGGGGAGAAGCCCTATGAATGTAACGAATGTGGGAAAACCTTTAGCTGGAGCTCTACCCTCACTCACCATCAGAGAATCCACACTGGAGAGAAACCGTATGCTTGTAATGAATGCGGGAAGGCTTTCAGTAGGAGCTCCACCCTTATCCATCACCAGAGAATCCACACTGGAGAGAAACCCTATGAATGTAACGAGTGTGGGAAGGCCTTCAGCCAGAGCTCACACCTCTATCAGCACCAGAGAATCCACACTGGAGAGAAACCCTATGAATGTATGGAATGTGGAGGAAAGTTTACCTATAGTTCGGGCCTTATTCAGCATCAAAGAATCCACACAGGGGAGAATCCCTATGAATGTAGTGAGTGTGGGAAAGCCTTTAGGTATAGCTCAGCCCTTGTTCGCCATCAGAGAATTCACACTGGAGAGAAGCCTTTGAATGTGATGGGAATGAGCAAAAGTTCTCTCAGAGTTACTGCTGAATTAAATATCCAAGAGTCTACATGAAAGAGAGCCACACACCTATTTTCCTCACTTCCTCTGAGTCTAAAGAGCTCCTGCCTTACTATATGAGTATGAACAACTTAGGATGTGTCCCTTCCGACTCAGCCCTTTCACTTTAGAGAATGGGGCAAATTGGGCAAATCATCCTGGCACAGTGATGAGCTACCTAGTCTGTTTCCCCAAGATTGACATCAGGAGGTGAGTGGCAGGTTATGTGCCACAAATAAGAGGGAGGCTCTGGGACCCATCACCTTCCATTCTGGAAGGGAGTTTGCACTAGACCATTTCTCTCACACCAGAGAAGCCTTTCTTTCTAAGGTGGGGAATGGAAGCACAGTAGGAATAAAATTCCAAGGATTCCTGTAGTTGGAGTCAGTATATAGTCAGCACAGAAGACAGTGGGAAGAATGTTCTGAGTCCTATTTGATAAGAAAGGGAAATGGAGGCTGTATTTCAAAGCCACTGTTCCTAATTCAGCTTTAAGTTTTGATATGGAATGTGCTATTTTGTTGTTGTTGTCCCATGACTTCATTAATTATGGAAAAACTTGGTGCTGAGGGTAGTGTTATTTTACTGGTGGTGGGGGAAACCCGAGGAGGTTTTCTGTGATAACTATTTTGCAGGGCTCTTGGAGCAGCAAGCCCAGGATTCCAAGAGCAGCAAGGCAGTTTTGTTGAACTTGTACTTCCCTACTGTGATATATCTGATTGGGAAATCCCTCCGATAATCAGTAAGTCTAACAGGGAGAGGATCAGAAGCATTTAGCATTCACCTGTTTCCCCTCCTCCTCTCTCCCTGTTCCTCTCCCCACTCCTGTGTTGAGCAGTGATTTAATCCAAACCCTCAGTTACTAGGAATGCTTTTATGGAACTCACTCAGCCAGCTTGCCCTGCCCTCTGTCCCCTATGACCTAGGACGTCTGGCCCCAGCAGCCGGACCTTTCCTGACCCCACCTCTGACTTCGGCAGCCAAGTATGAATGCAAAGAAAAGGCAAAGCCCAGAGAAGGGAGTCTCTGGCCTGACCGGGCCACATTACTGGGTTAGGATGGAGCTCCTGAGTTTCCCCAGCTGAAGGGATGATCTTTGGTTCTATCTTCCCAATCCTGCTCATCCTGTAGCATAAATGAAGTGCACTATTAAACAGAATAGTTTTTTAGGAGAGATTGAGTGTGTTTTTGTGCAAGGAGCACAAATTTATTTCAGTTAAAATAGGAAACTGACTATAACTGGAATCTTTAAAAATGAATCTTTAAAATTTTTTACAGACAGCTATTTTTCTTTCAGTCACAAACACATGACCTCTTTCTCTCAAGACTCCAGGTACTGCCACAGACACCAGGTACTGCCACAGACTCCCATTTACACAGCTGCTCCCACCTCATACCCACATGTCGGATTTTGTGTGCTGCGTGCTCTTGACTTAAGACCAGGAACCAAAACTAGAAAGGTGTTACTGGGTGTGGGCCCCCTGACAAGTGTGTCCTTGGATGTTGGGTGGCAATGGGCATATGTAGATTTCTTGTTTGGGCGCTTGGTGGGAGGGTGTTCCAGTCACGAGAAGGAAGACTGAGATGAAAGTCTTATGGAGAAGATGAGGAAATGTCTGGAACTGGCCTCTAAAAAACTTGGGAGCATATATTGTGATTGACCACCTAATGTTTTTACTGTCTTAAAGCTATAATGAAACTCATTCTTTTGGCTCGTCTTTGACGTTCACCACGTCCTTCCAGATTGATTTTGTTCCTCACAGTGTAGGCCATGAACTATCCATACCAGAATCACCAGGTTGCTGGGGCGCCTGAGTGGCTTAGTCGGTTGAGCGTCCGACTTTCGCTTAGGTCATGAGCTCGCGGTTCGTGGGTTCGAGCCCCGCGTCGGGCTCTCTGCTGACTGCCAGCTCGGAGCCTGGAGCCTGTTTCAGAGTCTGTGCCTCCCTCTCTCTCTCTGACCCTCCCCTGCTCACGCTCTCTCTCTCTCTCTCTCTCCTAGAAATAAATAAAACATTTAAAAAAAACTAAAAAAAAAAAAAAAAGAATCACCAGGCTGCTTATTAGTAATGCAGGTTCCCAAGCCCTCCAAATCAGACCTATAAAATAGTTTCTGAGAATAGAACCTAAACATTTACACTGAATAGGAAGAACCAGTAATAGAAAAGAGAAAAGTTCTGGGAAAAGAGAAATTTGAGCAAGGTCTTGTAAAACATTGTATGTTTTAGAGGAGAAGAGGTTCCAGACAGGCCAGTTTGGGGTGGGCCAAGCATGGCCACTTATGTGGAAGTTCGTGTTGCAGAGCTCCAGAAAAGACCCCCAGACAGGCAAGGCTGCTAGGTGAATAGTCACTATTGGTTGTACGTGATCAGCCACTGCTCTGCCTACACGCTGAACTCCCCCACTGCACAAAGACTTGATGACTCCCCTCAGAACATCTCAGACCTGGGATTGATCTGAACCATTGCATGAAAATTGTGTTTATTTTTTAAATATCTTTTTAAAAATTATGTATTTTTTAATGTCTGAGCTCAGGAGCAGGGAGAGCAGGAGACAGAATTTGAAGCAGGCTCCATGAGGTCAGCACAAAGCCCAGTGTGGGGCCCAAACCCACAAACCATGAAATCATGACCTGATTCAAAGTCGGATGCTCAACCGAGCCACTCAGGTTCCATATTTTTTAAATATCTTTTTTTTAATGTTTATTTTTGAGAGAGAGTGCAAGTGGGGGAGGGGCAGAGAAAGGGAGATACAGAATCTAAAGCAGGCTCCAGGCTTTGAGCTTTCTGTCAGTACAGAGCCCGACACGGGGCTCGAACCAACGAACTGGGAGGTCATGACCTGAGCCAAAGTCAGACGTTTAACTGACTGAGCCACCCAGGCGCCCCTAAATATATATTTTTGTTTTTTTTAATGTGTTTATTTTTGAGAGAGAAAGAGACAGCGTGAGCAGGGTAGAGGCACAGAGAAAGGGAGATAACAGAATCTGAAACAGGCTACAGCCGTGCTGTCAGCTCAGAGCCTGATGCAGGGTTCGAACTCATGAACCATGAGACCATGACCTAAGCTGAAGTCTGATGCTTAATAAACTGAGCCACCCAGACGCCCCTTTTAAGTATTTTTGAAGCTACTATAACATCTTATTCATCTGATTTTCCTGATTATTCCTATTTCCCATAATGGTTCCTCTTTTCTCACTCCCTGAGTACTCCTTAAAGGAATGTTTGGTCATCATACGAGTTTGTCTCTACACCATTACCCTTGGAACCCACTTATTCCTGTGGTCTCAACTATTCCCTCTATGTGATAAGTTTTAAATTTGCGCCTGTGGTTCTGGTCCCTCCCAAGTTCCAGTCTTGGGTCTCCAGAAGACTTCAGGGCATTTATACTTGGATCTCTAAGTTTCCAATTTTGAGTTTCAAACCAGATGCATCTTTCCCATAAACTGCCCCCTCTCAAAATTTCTATAAACTCAGGGTCAGACCAGAGTTTTCTTTGGTTCTTCTCATCCTCCTACATCTAACCAGTGTCAAGTCCTGGGTGTGTTCAGTAAGCATGGACTGGGGAAGGTTTCAGAATTGAGATTGTGAAGAGGTCGGATTTCCACGTGGTGGTAGTGATAGTAGCTGACATACAGCATACACTCTGCCTGGCCCTTTTCCAGATGGTTTTCAGATATTAAGCCAGGTAATTGTCACAACCACCTGTGTTTGGGGTGGGTGTTCGTAGTAACCCCATCTTACAGATGAGGAAACCGTTGAACTTGCCAGGTGAGATAGGATAGTGAGACCCTGGGTTGCTCTACTTGGTGGGAGGCTGGACCACGTGGCCCAGACAGCTTCGCAGTGAGCTGAGGAGGCGTGTGAAGAGGAATCCTCCTCCAAGTGATTGCCTTGTCCCGTCCCTACCTCCTTCGTAGTCCTTTGTTTCCATTGCTGCTAAGCCTCGGGTTCAAGTCCCTATTACTCCTCCCCTGGAGTATATAAATAGTTTCCTAAGTGGATTATTATCTTTATTTGCTCTCACTCTCTCTGAGACACTACACCCATCTTGTCACTCCTTTATGAAAAAAGTTTGTGTCTTCTCCCTTCTTAAAGAATAAAATGGGAAATCCTTAGTTGTGTAGTCCAGGCTTTCCTTGAGCTGGTCTCTGCATATCTGCTGCTCCTCACACACCTAAAATCCAGATTTGTGACAACCCCAGCGCTGGTAAGCCGTTAGGGCAGTAACAATATATTTTATTATTCAGTACTCTTGCAAAAGGGGGAAAGAGGCCTCTGTATAGAACTGGGCTAATGTTCAAATATTGCTGGTCGGGTGGGAATTCATAGCCAAGGGACAGGGTGGGGGTGGGGGTCAGTGGATAGGAAATTTCTAAAAGAAAAAAAAACATGGGTGCAAGAGGGGTTTTGGCTAAACTGACCCCTAATAATTGGATTCTTGCTGAAGGTGGGCCCAGGTGAGTAGGTCCCCGACCCTGGGGTGGTGGTGGAGGACGAGGGACTCATCCTGACTTCACAGGGTTCTTGCTAGAACTAGATTTTACAAGGAAATGCACAGATGGACCTAGGCAAAGGTTCAGGACCCCGAGTTCGCTTTGGTCAAGCAAAGAATTTTTGTCACATCAAATAGTAATATTATAGGGCCCCATACACACCTCACGAGTTTGTTCACTCACAGTGTTCCCCTGTCCTGCTCTGACTCCTCAATCAATAAAAATCAGTCCAAGAGGGCTTTAGAAACCATCTTCAGGGAGGCCTGGGTGGCTTAGTCAGTTATGCATCTGACTCTTGATTTCTGCTCAGGTTGTGATCTTGCAGTTGGTGGGAGGGAGCCTTGCATAGGGCTCTCCATGGACAGTACAGAGCCTGCTTGGGATTCTTCCTCTCCCTTTCCCTCTGCCCTTTCCCTGCTCATTCTCTCTGCCTCTCAATAAAAAACTTTAAAATTTTTTAATGTTTTATTTACTTCTGAGAGAGAGAGAGAGAGACAGCATGAGCAGGGTGGGTCAGAGAGAGAGGGAGACACAGAATCCAAAGACAGCCTCCAGGCTCTGGGCTAGCTGCCAGCACAGAGCCTGACACAGGGCTTGAACCCACGAACCGTGAGATCATGGCCTGAGCCGAAGTTGGACGCTTAACCGACTGAACTACCCAGGTGCCTCTCTCAAAATAAACTTTAAAAAGAAGCAATCTTCAGCCTCCTGCTTAGTGCCTGACAGGCAGCCATCCATTCTGTACTGTCTTCAGGACTCTGAAGACAGGACACTTCACTACTCACTTCAGGACTCACTACTTTTACTGGTAGTAAAAGCAGGCAGTTCTCCCATTGAGCATTCTCCTTGCTGAAAGTTAACCTGAGCTGAATTGTGCCTCCTTGTTAGCCTTCCGTAGTTAGCTTCTGGTTTTGCCTCTTATCTGTGAAATGAGGGATGGGCAAGATTTCCAAGGACATTATCTGTCATAGCAAAAGCAGTTTCATTCCCAATGCCCCTCACCCATCCTGAGTCATCTGTTCTTGAGATCCAACTCAAATAATTCCGAGAAAGGATATTATGTGATACGTTTCCAAATAAGGGAAAACCCTGGTTTTACCTGAACATGTCAGCTGACAGAAGTATGAACCATGGAACGATGGTGGAGAAGAAAAATGTTTTCTACTTCAAAAAATCAGAATAAAGCCCAGTCAGCTGCATTATTTTAAATATGCCAGTAATGAAGATTTTTAAATGAATAAAAAATTACATGGAGTAGGGGCACCTGGCTGGTGCAGTCATTAGAGCATGCAACTCTTGATCTCAGGATCACAGGTTCAACCCCACCTTGGGTGTAGAGCTTATGTAAACAAACAAAAATTACATGGACAATTTTTTTTACATACAAAGATAAATCTGGTCACCAGAGTGGTTTCTCTCCACAAGTATATTTTTCTTTGTGTATTTTCCTACTTTGGTTGCTGCCATCATCCACTTCCCATTCAGCCAGGCCAGGAACCTGGAAATTGTTCTGGACACAGTACTTCTCTGCATCTCCCCACCCCTACAGTTGTCAGATAATATCTAGCCCATCCTGTGTTGCTCACCCTCGACTCCTGTGTTGGCCTGGGCTGTCCTTAACTTGTTCTGGGACTCTGGCCCCAGCCTTACAAAAGTGTCTTTTTCCAAAGCCTTGCTCTTCAATCCATTCTTGGTACCTCTACATGAGCTCTCTCTCGCTCAAATGCTAAGTGTATGTGTGACACCACCTCCGAACCTTTCAGTGGCCCCTTCTCATTTCTTAGGTCAATGTCCAAACTCTTTATTGAGAGGCAGGACTTTTCATTTCCTAGCCCTGCCTACTTTCCCGCCCTGCCTCATAGCACACCTCTTACCCTAACTCCCTCCCCCCATCTACTCTACACTGGAGCCATGCAAAACTACAGTTACAGGAGCACACATGCTGTTCCTGCCTCCTGAATGCCCTCCCCTCCTTGTCCACCTAACAAACTCCTGTTCATCTTTGAAAGCTTCCTTGTAAGCTCACCTTTTTTGTGGAGTCTTTCCAGGAATTGTGCTTGTCCCCTTCTGCCCCCACCACGTTCATTTCCTCTGAGCTGCCTCTGCATCTCATGCTCACTTTCCTTATTGCACTTATTCCCTGTCTCTTATTATTTGTTCATCTATCTGACTTCCTCACTGTGGTGAGTTTTTCCCTACGTTTTCACA